AACAATAAAAAGATACGTATACAGATGGATCACGTGGTCGTAAACACGGCAAAGAAATACTTAGGTGTGTCGGTATAGCGAGATCCGATTCTCAGAAATTCAGGCAAAGTGCTCTTTGAAAATCCCCGTCTCTGAAACGACTCGCGACAGCGACAACGCTCGTAGACAAACGTTTACGGTGGAAGGCGCACGACACGTACCTACCTAGGACAATATATGCTATCGGTTTCTAGCAATTACTTAGGCGACCTGTGCCTGCTTTCGAAATTATACAGGGTGCCCCAAAAATGTCCCGCAATCTCTCAACGGTGGATTCCTGAGGTTATTCGAAGCAACTTTCTCCTTAGCGAAAATGCAATCCGCGGCTTCGTTTACGAGTTATTAACGAAAAACGGTGACCAATGAGAGGCGTGCTCGGCTGGCGCGAGGCGATCGAGCCAACGAGCGGAACTGGGATTCGCGCGCTGGTTGACTGCACCGCCTCGCGTCAGCCGTACTCGATTCTTATTGGTCACTGTTTTTCGTTAATAATTCGTTAACGGTGCTTTGGAGAACATTTTTGTAAAGGAAGAAGTTACTTCAAATGACCTCAGGAATTCTCCATTTCCGGATTACGGTACATTTTTGGGACGCCCTGTAGACGACGTCGAAATCGGTTGGTTCCGTTCTGCTTCGTTACAGTTCGATTCGTTTCGTTTCGTTGTCTCGTGTCGTCGGTTGAACGCAAGCCGGCCCCGATGGGTTCATCTTCCATTATTTACACGATCGTTCAGAGTAAATAATTTCTAAAAGCACTCGCGGCGATAAGCGTATTACCACCGACGCCTACGCCTGCATAGATGACTCACGCACTGTTCGATGGTTGCCCCGCTCGTCTCTGCTCGTCCGCTTGTTCGCGAGTCGATACTTTTTATCGAATCTCTACCGTGAAAACCGACGAATCGTAGCAGCGCGGCCTTAGCCGTCGAGTTTTACGATTAGATTCCATTTTTTCGTTTATTTACTTGTCTATTTATTGTAAACGGAATATTTATTGTACAAGCAATTATTAAACAAGTTGTATAATTTCTCAACAAATTTAACTTAATATGTAACACTTAACCCTTTGTACTCGGAGCCATTTTAACTGTAGATCTGAAATAATTTTTATAATAATTTTATATAAGTAATAATAATTATATAAATGATTTTTTTATAATAATTTATAGTAACTTTTTTATACGACAAAGTGCATTTTTTATGCGTGTAAAATCGAGTCTTGCGACTTATGCAACAGTTACACTTTTAACGATTCTTTGAGTCTAAACTGTGATCAATAACTATAAAAACGAGCCGCAATAATTGTATCTCCTCTTCCCAAATTGCCCATTTTTCTGCACAATCTGAGCGTCGATTAGGGAGAATTTGTCGAATACTGTAGTTTCTGCGATCCGTACTCGCGACAGACGCTGATACGAATTTTTCCATCGACCAGGACGTTGAGATTCTTAACGGAGGTCAGAGAGTTTTCACTTTCACACGATTTCTATCGGATGTTGAACCGCCTTATTCATCATTACGCATTGGAACTCGGAACTCGAAACTTGGAAGTCGGAAGTTCGAGCTCTCGGAATTTATACGGACGAATGGTTCGTATCTGCGTTCCGTCTTTCGAGAAATTGCTCGAAACAATAAAAAGTGTGGTCGTTGAGAATCGCTCGTAGAAATTGTTTCTGTCCACGTGAAATCGGAGTCGCAAACAGATACAGAAAATGCTACCTAATTGGCGCTCAGATTGTGCAGAAAAATGGACAATTTGGGAAGAGGAGACACGATTATTCGAGTTCTTATAGTTGACAATTCGAAACTATAAAAACGAACCGCAAGGCTCGAACAATCGTATCTCCTCTTCCCAAATTCTCCATTTTTCTGGACAATTATTATAGTTATGGATAACTATAGTCTTTATAGTTACCGATTGTGAACAACTATAAAAACTCCTCTTCCCAAATTGTCCATTTTTGTGGACATTCTAAGCGTCAATTAGAGAGACATTACTATATAGTAAATTCTCCCCAATTGGCCTTTAGATTGTCCACAAAAATGGACAATTTGGGAAGAGTTTTTATAATTACCTATAACTATAGTTTTTACAGTTCCCGATTGTCAGCAACTATAAAAACTCCTCTTCCCAAATTCTCCATATTTGTGTACAATCTAAGCGTCAATTATAGAGACATTACTGTACAGTAAATTCTCCCTAATTGGCGCACGTATTGTCCACAGAAATGGACAATTTGGGAAGAGTTTTTATAGTTACCGATAACTATAGTTTTTACAGTTACCGATTATTAGCAACTATGAAAACTCCTCTTCCCAAATTGTCCATTTTTGTGTACAATCTAAGCGTCAATTAGAGAGACATTACTGTACAGTAAATTCCCCCTAATTGGCGCTCAGATTGTCCACAAAAATGGACAATTTGGGAAGAGTTTTTATAGTTACCGATAACTATAGCTTTTATAGTTACCGATTGTGAACAACTATAAAAACTCCTCTTCCCAAATTGTCCATTTTTGTGTACAATCTAAGCGTCAATTATAGAGACATTACTGTACAGTAAATTCTCCCCAATTGGCCTTTAGATTGTCCACGAAAATGGACAATTTGGGAAGAGATCCCGATTGTCAGCAACTATAAAAACTCCTCTCCCGAAATTGTCCATTTTCGTGCACAATCCGCGCGTGAATTGGGGAGAATTTAGTGTACCAGGACGACGCGGACGTCGGAGACAGAAACGCGTTCGCTTCTCCGTTGATATATTCGAGATTAGGTTTACGTAATGATCACCACGCGGAAGCCGCACGTTAAGTCGACGTTAGGGCGACGAGTGTATTGTATTTTGGTTACCGCACGCGTCCTTGCAAATCTGCCCTCGACGTTATAGGACGCGTTTTGCAGCCGGGGATCGATCGGGTGCATTCTCATCCTCCTTTGTTTCTTTCTCTTGTTGCGACTCGGTTGCAATTCGTCTGCGACTCAATTGCGAGTTCGAATGAGCCCAACGTTTCCGCTGTCTATAGGTCGGACGGACCAAAGATAATGGTGACGACGACGACGACGACGACGACAGCAATGCCGATAACGATAACGTTAACGATAACGAGGACGATAACGACACAACTTTCTGCGAATCGGCTGGTCCGATTAAATTGTGCGCCCGAGTCGAATCTAACGGCAGGAGGCACGGCGACCACGGCGAAAAATCCGTGCTCCGAACTGTTTTCGCGCTCGAGCGACGAACACGGAGCCCCGCACGAGCAACGCATGCCGATTTCTGTCCTTTGTTCTCCTCGCCGTAAATTCTTCGCGTGTTCTATTACCTTTTATTTGCAGACTGAGCGCAACAGAGCCTCGCGGTGTACGGCTTCTAGAATGATTTAATGCGGCCTTGTAATCCGTAATGTAATCAGCGCGTGACGTCATTGTACCTACTCCCTAGTTCCGCGTGGATCGGATCGCAGAGTACACCTTGAGGGCGAGTGTGCAGCCTAATCCTTGCTTGTTGCGAGTTGCGAGTTACCAACAACGTAAATGGTAAATGGCCGTCGCCTGGCGTCATCCTAGACTCGCATCGACTTCGGCTTCTTTATCGACTTCGATCCCGATATTTCAATTCCAATCTCACTTTCGCGATTGGAATTTGAGTGCCGATGACTGTACAGAGTGTCCCAGGCTTTAATGTTCAAACTTTGTCGGTTTATTCTATGGCACGAAGTAAGACAAAAATGTTATGTAAACATGGGTCATACAGAGCTTTATTAAGAAGTTATAACAAAAATTCAGAATAGGAATAGTAATCAACTAAAAAAAAAATAAATAAAAAGAGAAATCTTCGATCGATGTCAATCATGTATTGTTAACAACGGTTATTAATACATTTCGAAATGTATTGATAAACACAGCTTACATAAACACACGGCATGTGCTGATCTATTCGAGCCAATGCTCGCAGTAACAGCAAGTTGATTACTATTTAGGAATAGTAGGTTCTGAATTTTTGTTATAACTTTTTAGAATAGAATAAGTTCCGAATTTTTGTTATAACTTCTTAGAATAAGTTCTGAATTTTTGTTATAACTTCTTAGAATAGAATACGTTCTGAATTTTTGTTATAACTTCTTAGAATAGAATAAGTTCTGAATTTTTGTTATAACTTCTTAATAAAGCTCTATATGACCTATACCAACGACGATGTTTATAACAATTTTGAGCTTCGTTTGGCGATATTTCAAAACGTATTTTTGAAGATATTTCTTGCAGACTTATTGACCTTTCCGTTGTTTCTAATGCGACAGCAATTTATTTGATTTAATTGTCGAAAATTGAGTAATCGATTGAAACGATTTAAATACTCTGAGTCAAAATCGACGCAACCGCCGCCCTGCGTAACTTAACCCCTTGCACTCGAGTGGTGACTCCGAGGCACCACTAAAATTGTTACATCACGTTCCAAGATAATATTTATATTATCAAAGAGCATAGATATAAAAAGATTGTTAAAAGTTTAACCGTTGTACGAGTCACAAGACTCAATTTCATATGCATGAAATACACTTTGTCGTATAAAATGGAAATATTATAAATGAAAAAAGTTAATTCAGATTTACAGTTAAAATGTCTTCGCGAATGCAAAGCGTTAATATCCTTATGCTTCATTCTCGTGGATTTACAGTCTGAATCTAGAGGTTCGAATGTTTTACTTTGCAGTAGTTTCTGAAGAACTTTTTCTCGAATAGTTCGAAGAATATCATTTCCTGGATGCGAGTGAGAGGAGAGATTCTGAATGAAATTCAGGGGGGTGGGGGGTCAGCGGAGGATTCAGAAGGATCCGTATCAGTGTCATGGCACATCACCTCGAGCAACTCGGCGAACTCGACCAACTTGACCAACTCGACCGCCTCGGTTCCGGAGACTGTTGCGCGACGCTCCGTTCTGACCTCGTTTTGCGTGTGTTGCAGGGGTGCTGGAGATGGCGGCCACGGAGAGCACGATCCGATTCAGCGGCCATACGTTGGACAAGGCTACAAAGGCCAAGGTGAGACCCGAGTTTTCTACACTTTTGTTTCCTCTATCCGTTTCTCGCTTCCACTGTCGTTCACATTGTCACACAAGCGCGGCCGTCAATGGACAACATTCGAAAAAGTCGCTGCTTCGTGTCTGTTCAAAACTATGTGTACCATGTATTGAAGTGTCTAAATAAACATACTTTTGCAATAGCATGTTCAAAGAATTCAGCGAACATTAGGAAGTATAGTACGTTACTTATTCACATTTTCTTATGAACAAAAGACTATTTTACGATGCGATCTTTACAGAAAATGATGATGGCCAGTCGTTATACGATTGTAATTAATCCATAGAAATTTTATGATACTTATATGCAATAGAATCATTCATCCGAAATGAAATAATTGAGTTCGACTTATTTTCTCACAGTTTAGATAAGGTTTTTGAGAAAAGAAACGGCTCAAAATATATTCTGTTTACATTATTAATATTATTCCAACGTGTTCGTCAGATAGTGCATTTTGATATTATAAAATCCCTTTTTGCAAGAAGCTGCAATCTTCCGAGTTATTTAATTAAATATGTAACCGCAACCGGTCTCGAATTCTTATATGCGACACGATCGCTTACGAATTTTCAGGCACTAATGCAAAATTAATGAGAAAATCTTTCGTTCGATAGTCTTTCAATATTCGGCTAACAATAAACCGTGTCTGCAAATTAAATCTGCGTAGAAGTTTCGATTCAATGAAAGACAAAAGTGATAAGAATTTTTTTTTATGAAATCACATATTTTTTTTCATGAAAATCGACGCGTCTTTATTACGTTCGCATTTTGTTCGAAAATTGATCAGCTTAAAAGTTATGATTTTCGTCCCTCGTATAAACGACGCGCACTGTGCGTCGTTTTCGCTGTCGTTTGCACTTCTCGACGCCTCGTCTGTTCGCAAACCGATACCGAGAACTCGCAATTTTGTCCGTGAACAGGTAACGTTGGAGAATTACTACAGTAATCTGATAGCCCAGCATATCGAGCGACAGCAGAGGCTCGCCAAATTGGAGGAATCGCTGAAAGACGAAGGGCTCTCGGAGCAGCAAAAGCAGGAGAAACGATTGCAGCATGCCCAGAAAGAAACCGAGTTTCTTCGGCTGAAACGCTCCCGACTCGGCGTCGAAGACTTCGAGCCGCTCAAAGTAATTGGCAGAGGCGCATTCGGCGAGGTGAGTTACAAAGTGTCCACGCGTCTACGGTCTAGAAATGTCTGCCGTTCGTCTCGCGGCCAAACGAATGTTCTCTACGAAATCGCGGCTTTAAGACAAGGTTGCTCTGCCGCGTCCTTGAATCGATTACAAGGGTCGCTCGAAAATAGCCTCTCGAATTCGCGTTTCTTTCCCGCTTCTTTTCGCGAAACGACCTTCGGAATAACTTCGAAAATCTCGAAGAAATATATATATATAAATACTATTTATAAATAGTATTTATTATTATTATTACTATTATAAATAGTATTTATATATATATGCACCGGTGTTCCAAAAATATCTCGCAATCTGGAAATGGCGAGTTCTTCAGATCATTTGAAGTAACTTCTTCCTTTACAAAAATTTTCTCCGACGCACCGTTAACGAGTTATTAACGAAAAACAGTGACCAATAAGAATCGAGTGCGGCTGACGCGAGGCGGCCCAGCCAACCGCGCACGAAGCCCAGTTCTCATTGGCTCGGTCGCCTCGCGCCAGCTGAGCTGGGTTTCGACCGCCTCGACCGCTGGCGCCGTTGGCTCGGCCGCCACGCGCCAGCCGAGCTCGCCTCTCATTGGTCACAGTTTTTCGTTAATAACTCGTGAACGGTGCCTCGGAGAACATTTTCGCAAAGGAAAAAGTTGCTTCGAATGACCCGAGGAACCCGCTACTTTCGGATTGCGAGACATTTTTGGGACATTCTGTATATATATCTGATTCGCGTCGTTTTAACACGGGCGCGTGTGTGAAACAGGTGAGACTCGTGCAGAAGAAAGACACCGGTCACGTCTACGCGATGAAAATTCTGAGGAAAGCCGATATGCTGGAGAAGGAGCAAGTGGCGCACGTCAGGGCCGAACGAGACGTTCTGGTGGAAGCGGATCATCAGTGGGTCGTGAAGATGTACTATAGTTTTCAAGATCCTATAAACCTTTATCTAATAATGGAGTTTCTTCCGGGCGGTAAGTGTGTTCGTCCGTTCCGATTCTTCGGATTCTGGTATCTCGCGCGCGAACATTTTCGAGCTGGTTTCTTCCGAACTAACGTCTACGAACAGTACAGTTTTTTTCCCCCTAATTGACGCTCGGTTTGGGAACAAGAGTGGAGAATTTGGGAAGAGAAGGCACGATTATTCGAGTCTTGCGCCTCGTTTTTATAATCGTTGACAATCGGCAACGATAAAAACGAGCCGCAAAGCGTAGATAATCGTATCTTTTCTTCCGAATTTGTCCATTCTCGTGTACAACCTGAGCGTCGGTTAGAGAGACATTACCGTATATTGTACGCAATAATTATTCCAGGCGACATGATGACGCTGCTGATGAAGAAAGACACGCTTTCCGAGGAGTGCACGCAGTTTTATATCTCCGAGACGGCGTTGGCGATCGACTCGATCCACAAGCTGGGCTTCATTCACAGGTAAGCCGGATCGAATACCAGAAGAGAAGAAATTCTCGTTTATTTTCTTCTCGTCTACGACTCCTCTGACCGTGCTCCTCCTTGCACCTTCTTCGCAGGGATATCAAGCCGGACAACCTGTTGCTGGACGCGCGAGGACACATAAAGCTCTCCGATTTTGGTCTGTGCACGGGTTTGAAGAAGTCCCATAGAACCGACTTCTACAGAGATCTCAGTCAGGCGAAACCTTCCGATTTCAGTGAGTATTCGCGCGTCAGCGATCTTTTCGTATACGGTTTTTCCCGTGTCGTACTGACCGCGTTTACGTGTTTCGCTTAGTGGCGTCTTGCGGCAGCGGCAGCGGCGGAGCGATGGACAGCAAAAGGAGAGCCGAAAGTTGGAAAAGAAATAGAAGAGCGCTGGCTTACAGTACGGTGGGCACGCCCGATTACATAGCCCCGGAAGTATTCCTGCAAACTGGTTATGGAAGAGCTTGCGACTGTTGGTCCTTGGGCGTGATCATGTACGAAATGCTGATAGGTAACTATCTGTATTTTCTGTCCATTCTTTCTCCTTTCGTCTCTGTTTCTTATCAGCGTCTCCCGTAGAAGATTTGTACGTCACGGATTCTCAGTTTCCCCGAATTTTTTTCAGGGTATCCTCCATTCTGCAGCGAGAATCCGCAGGAGACCTACAGAAAAGTTATGAATTGGAGGGAGACCTTGGTATTTCCACCGGAAGTCCCTATTAGCGAGGAAGCCAAGGATACCATAATCAGATTCTGTTGCGAAGCCGACAGAAGATTAGGTGAATATCTTGAGAAGGTTCAACTCTCTAGAGGAAGGAATATTTCCGATTACGCTCCGCGATTGCGGTACGAGTTCGGTTAAATTGGCTCGTTCGTTTTCTTAATCAAGTTCAGTCGAGCCGCCGTCTCGCTTCTTAAGCGCGCATCGTTGCATCTCGTTCGACGATTCGTGTCACGTGTTTAATTTCGTTGCCGCGGTGGCACGCGTCCAGAGTCAGATTTGAAATGGCCACGGGGTGCGAGGGTTATAGTTCAGTTGTCGTTCGGCTACTCGATGGATTAGGAAGTAGGGACAAGATTAGGAGCAGTTGACAATCGATAAAAATTTGTAGGTGCGCAACGAGGCATCGAGGAGCTGAAATTGGCACCCTTCTTTCGCGGCGTCGATTGGGAACACATTAGGGAGAGACCGGCGGCGATTCCGGTCGAGGTTCGATCCATCGACGACACCTCCAACTTCGACGAGTTCCCGGACGTGAAATTGGAGATACGTGAGTACACCGCTACATTATCGTTTTTCCACGAACGTCACGGTTTCCGTTTCACCGGAACCCCATGGTCCTGCTGGCATATTTGAACGGTCGGTTTCCGTCGATTTCAGCATCCGCGCCGATGCCGCAGGACGGAGAAGTGAATTACAAGGACTGGGTGTTTATAAATTACACGTTCAAGCGATTCGAGGGACTGACGCAACGAGGAACGCCGACCAAGAAATAGCAACACCCTATTTCTTGTTCGGCTTCAACCGGCGGTCAGCAGTCTGACGCTACTGGTATTCCGGCCTTGGTACATCATCCGCACCCTCCGCTGTCATCGACGACGTCGCGAACGGATGGTTGATCCGTTCTATTTTCCGTATACGTCACGGTCAATCATCGTCGAGGGTGATTAATTCTTGTACTCGTCTGTATATAAACGCGATGCGATGATCGCGTTGCGCTATAACACGCAAGAGGAGCAAGAGAAACAAGAGAAAAAGGGGAAGCAAACGACGACGATGACGGGGACGATAACGACAACGATCGCCGCGTTGCGTTGCGTTGCGTCGCGTCGCGTCGCGTTGCGTTGCCTCGTGTCGCGTCGCGTCGTTGCTCCCCTTTGTATCCAGAAAACAAAGAACGACAAGTGATCAACAACAACCGCAACAACATTTTCTAAACGAGCGAGTGCGAAAATTGATGCACATGTGATAAGGAAGAACCGAAGCATTTAGAGAATCGCAGACAGAAATAGAACTCTACGGCGAACCTTTCTCTAGGAACGTCGCGAAACACTGTGAAAAGTTGAAAAGATGAAAAGGTTGCGTTTTGCTCTCGGCATTGTTTCTATCCGAGGGTCGGCGCGCAACACAGTAAAAGCTCTCTTTCTCTCTCTATCTGCAGTGACCGCATTACTGGGGGAAAAAATGAAAACAAGATGGAGCCTCGGTCCCGTGATTCTCGCAGTGCATACAATTTTTGCGTGGAATTTCATTCGATGCGTTCTTTCGCCCCTTTATCCTAACATTGGCTCGGCTCTCCTATTTAGCTCTCTTTCCAACGTTGTATTTATAGCTAGTGCTGTGATATGAAATTGTTTGAAGAAAGTTTTGTATACAAATTGCTATTTTGTCTGTTAACAAATACTGATCTTTACGAATGTTGTATTCTACTCGATTGTCCCTACGTTTGCCCCGAAATTTTCAATATTTCTTGACACATGCGAAACTTGTTGCGTACTTTCTCCGAGAGCTTCTGCCCGAATTTGTAGTCCCGCGCGAAACACGATCGACAGAATATTTTCCCAAATATTTTCCCCGCGACGTCCACCGATCGGTCGCGTATCATTTATTTCTCTTTCGATCGAGTTTACAGTTTCTCTACGTTCACCGATCGCATTTCCAAAATTTTCCGACGCGCGTAGCAGACCGTTGGAAACGTTTCGCTTGCCGCGTAATCGACGCGACCGCCTCGAATCGTGGAATACTGTCGATTGCCGAGCAAATTGCTCCGTGGCCCGAGCTTCAGCGTAACTTTATGTTCTTTGGGATCCTTTGTACCAACGTATGTCATGTAAATCGTTGAATAAAGCTATGATTGCAACGAATCGAATCGCGTAGACGCGTGACCGGGCGAAAGGAGAATCATACAGGCACCGGGTCTCTTTCTTACAGAACAACAATTTCCTGAAAATGTTCCCGTTCGCGCCCGAGTATTTTAATGAGATACGCGAATCAAACGCGAGTTTTAACGCGACGTCGGAAGAGGACTCTCGACTCGTGAGATACACAGGGCTCGTTCGTTGCCTTATCAAGGTTCCTAACGCGTTCCAAGCGTGCAGCCCAATCCATAACGAACGATGAAACGGAAAAGAAACGCTCTTCGTCCCTGGATAGAACGTATATAGGTAATAAGAAA